GCTAGCAACCTCAGACAATTAAGGCTGTGTTTGCGGGAGCTTTTAAAAGCACTTTTGAGCTCTTTTGTTAAAAAAAGCTAAAACTTGTGTTTGCAAAACTGAGATTCTGCTTAATTATAATCAGCTTCACGTCAAAAGCAGAAGCAACAATGAACATGCTTTTACAGATTCTGCTTAAATGATTCTAGGTATTTTTTTTAAATACGGCCAACTTTTTGGACAATTTAATCCACAAAAGTCCAACTTAGCCTTCACCTCTTCCTACAATATACGCCTGTCCTTCATCACCTCAGCAGGAAGATACTCGAGAATGGCACAGAGGTAAACAGGAGCACCGGCGGCGACTCGCCGGCTTAGCCTTTAATCTGCCGGCGCCGGCGGCAACCTTTCCTGCTCCGCTTGAACTCATAATTTTCTAAATGGAAACCCTAAAGCCGACTTGCGGAAGCTGACCTGCGAATTTGGCTGACACATATATATGGTAATTGAACTTTGGGAAGCCGGATTGGAAATTCCATCATCTATGATAGCCTAATGGGGAAGCCATCTGATGGAGTATATGGCCCAGGAACCCCCGGCCCATAGACTCCTACTTCTCCTACACAAATTCATTTGGCCCAGGGAACAACTCAGGCCCAAAATGCAGCGGCCCAAGCCTCAACGTAGCCCAGAATACGCACTGGGGTGCCTTCGGCCTCCTTGGCCGAAGGCTCTAAATCTCACAGGGTAGCCTTCTCTGGCATAAGAGGCTACTGGGAGAAAACGGCGAAAAATGTGAGCCTTCGGCATTATCGAGCCCTCGGCATCAGAGAAGCCCCCGGCTAAACCATGCCTCCGGTCACATAGGGCCCTCGGCTACACAGGGATCCTTGAATACATGGAGCCCTCGGCAACACAAGGAGCCCTCGGCCAAACACGCTCAATCATCGAAGATTCCTTTTGGAGACAGCCAACCACCGCATTTAAAGCCACGTCACATCCGCCAACCGCATTCAATGCGGTGAACGTACCACTGCCGGTGCCAACCGGTTGATGTGACCCTTCGGCCGTTGGATTACTGACACGTGTCCTCTCATCGCATTTATTGCTGCTATAAATAGCAGCCCATTTCTCCTTGTAATCGACATCATCTACATCTCAACTCCACACGCAGAGTTCATTTAATAAAATCGACTCTCTCTCCTCCTATTTACTCTGACTTCTCTCTAGTTATTCCCGCAATAACCCCTCGGATAAGATACCCCCCGGGTAGACTATCCATCACCATCTCTGTTAGATCTTGAAGCTTCACATATTAAAATAATAAAGATTTGCTTTTAAAATTGATGGCAAAGGCCAAAGCTAAGGATTTATGCGGCGTGTGATTTACTTTATAAGGGCATCTTTGTACTTTTCGAAAAATATTATTTCACATTTTTATTAAAATGTGAAACACTACCTACTTTTATCAAACACTTCAACTTTTACATTTTTATTAAAATCACTTCTCTTTACAAACACTACCTACTTTTACTATAAATCACTTTTCCAATAATCACTTTAAAAAATCACTTTTCAAAAGCACGAGCAAACGCAAACATAGCCTAATTCGAAGGTTCGTTCGTTAACATTATGTCAATTATAAGAAAAAGGTGTTTATTAGAGATGAAGTAAAAAAGAGTTCTAGGGCTACAAATTGCAGAACTTTTATCCACTAATTCCTTGTAAATAGAGAAGTAATAAAGACAAACTAATTCTTGATAAATTACCAAAAACAATCTGGTGCATATCTACAATTGTCGCAGAAGGCCGTAGTTATGCAATTTTAGCCTTTTAGGTTTTTTGAGAGAGATGAAAAACTAAGTGGATGGAGAAAAATTAGATCTACTTTGGCAGATTCACGTAACTCAGAATGGTGGTTTGGACGGAAGTCTAGATCCGTCCCATTTATTCTATTTCTGGCACACTGATAATGAGTTCAGATTATTATTATAAAATTTTAAAGTAGAGATTATTTTTGTTTAATTGAAGAAAGTAAGGATTATTTATATCAATTTTGCCTTTTTATAATAACATTCGTTTCTTTTTAGTCACAACATAGATAATTTTAGGCAATTCACATACTCTACTTTGACACTACTTTATTTATTAATGTAAGAGAATTAATATATTTTTAAAATATATTGTTAAATTCGTCTCATTACAAATTTTCTAAATATAATTTTATTTTATTTTATTGCTACTAATATATAATTAAATATAACTACAATCAAATTGTGTGATGACAAGCGTGAAAATGAGAATGTTGCAATTTAAAAATAAGGGAGGAAGTGTAATTTTTTCCTTATTTATTAAGAAAATATATTTTAAAACAATTTTTTGTGATCCAACAAATTCAGCTCATTCAGTAGTTTCAACCAAAATTTCATTAATTTCATTAAAATAAGTCGTACCAATCAATTTCGGTATTATTAAACAGACTCTTACTGAATGTAGTAGGAATAAAGTGTTGAATTGAGGGTTTTTAAAAAATATTATTGAAGTAAAACTTATTTACAAAAACATGACTAATTATATTTCATCCGTTCTCTAATAAAATAGAGTACATAGTTTTTTCACGGTTTTTAAGAATAAAATGGTAGGAGTACTATAGAGGGTGTATGGTAAATGAAAAGGAAGAAAATGGAGTATATCAAGAAGAGAAAAATAATGAAAAAGTAGGAAAGGGAAAGTAGTTTGTAAAAAAGTAAAAAGAGTAAAGATAATAAAAGTGAGAGTATAAAAGTACTCTGATGGAAAAACTTATTAAAAAGATAAAGAGAGACAAATCTGACATAAGCCAACCTCAACAGTCTTCAGGCCGGACAGTTTGCACTTCGAGCACAGCTCCTTCATCCCCTTTTCGCTCATGTGACCGAGACGACAGTGCCACAAATTCACATCGTTTGTTGCAGAGGCAGCAACATCGATGCAGTCCTTCGAGTTCGTTGTCATGTACAACGTACCCTCCCTTTTCCCTTTAGCAACCAACAAGGCCCCCTTTGTGATCTTCCAATTTCTGCTGCCGAATGTAACTGCACAGCCTTCCTCTTCAGCATTACCACATGAATGGAACGAAGCTCCAGAATCCAGAACCCATGACTCCAATGGACTGCTCACGCTCAGGAGATCATCGCCAGATGATTCCGCCGCTACATTGGCTGATGCCTTCTCCTTCTGATCCTTGATCTGCTCCTTGCACTGGCTCTTGAAGTGTCCGTACTCCTCACAGTTCCAGCACTTGATCTGACTTTTGTCCTTCTTGCCCTTGCTGTTTGACTTGGATTTGGATCTTGATCTATCCCGATTTGACTTGGACTTCGACTTCGTTCTGCCCCGGTTTTCTGTACTCAACGCCGATCCAGCTAGACAAGTAATAAAAATATCCCAAAAAGGAATATGAGACATTTATTAGAGAACGAAGAGAGTAGTTACTATATATAGAATGGTATCATGGTCACTTAAATGTAAAAATTGAACATAATTTAAAAACTACGACTAAGTCTGGTCATTTATTACTATATGACTAATTTAGAATGATTGTAGTAGTATACTACTATAGTCACTGTATATAAGTTGTCATGTTTTTGTAAGCAATCTTTATTTTTGTCACAATTATGTAACTATTTCTTTCTATTAATTATATCAATATAATTAATTATTAAATAATCAAAATTATTCATTTAAAATACGTAACATCTACAAATTAAATGAAGGTAAAATTCAATTCACACAAGTCTGGTCTTACATTAGAATTATTCCGGTCCAATCTTGAGACCAATTACTTTGGCGATTTTAGTTCTTATTCGGTCCGTTCGGCTTTGGACTAGTACTCAACCCTATTATAATTATTATGTGCAACCAATTATTATTATTTTTATAACAATTCATATGTTACATATCAATATGAAACAATAATTGCAAGAATAAGATTATAATTCTAAAATTCTCTAAATAGGACTACCTTTCAATTTCTACTCTTGCATTATTTTAATACAATTGACATTTCATTGATAATTAACACATAAAAGTAATAACATAACTTTAATTATAATAAAAGTGGGAAAGAACACAAAAATAAATATTAAATACAATTAATAAAAATTAAAAATTTAAAAGATTAAAAAACTTTAAAAAATAAAAAAAAACACAAATGAAAAAAATATATAAAAAAATTATGGAGGCCTTCGCAGTCTCTCCCACCTCCAGCACCATAGCTCCGACCACCAGAAAAAATGGCAACATGTGTCAGTAATGCCACCTCGATTGCAGCTTTAGAGAAAAATTGACACTTTTAAAGAGTAACAATGTCATCTTCATGAAATTTTTAGATAAACAATGACATTTTTTTTTACACAAAACGACATTTTCTTCGCCGATCGGAGGTGGCAGAGACTGCATGAAAGGCCTCAATAGCTTTTTTATATTGTTATGTGTTTTATCTCTACTTAATTTTAAAAAGTTTTTTTTTTCTTTTAATATTTATTATTTTACTATTTTCAAAACATTTTTTTTGTTTTTCATTTTTTAATGATTTTTTTATAAATTAATATTTTCTATGGAGTATTATTTTTAAATTTTATTACAAATTAAAATATGATTTTTATATTAAGTTATGGTAGGGATAAATTTTAAAATAAGAGTATAGTGTATTCTTATTTTGAGAATATAAATTCAACAATCCTCTTTGTGCATTTCGATTAGTTTTTTTCTCCTAATCATCAGAAGCCTATAAATCTACTCTGGTGCAAATCTACTCCGTAATTGTGAACACTTGTTAACTGTTTTTTAATTGGGGACTAAACCACAAATAATCAAACTTAATATAATATAACCGCCCGTAGTACTAAATACTTGGTACTAATTTGAGTAGAAAGATAACGTGGCTTAATAGTAGTATGTGATTGGCTAGAAAACTTTGGGTAACGTGTTTATTTAAGGAGGTACGGTAGAAAAACCGGGTTAGTTAGATCAGCTCATTTGTATGAACGTTTTAACCGAAATATAGCGACTCATCCTGGAACACACCTTCTACCATTTTTAAACCACCTGGCGAAGAAACAAACAGTAGCTGCTTTGTCTACTATCATGGATGAATTGGAGAATCGGCTGGAAGAAAAAGCTAAAAGGAGCGAGCTGAAAGCCATAGAAGCCTCACAGAAACTGCACGGCTTGATGCTCCTTCTACAGAAAAGACATGACGATGAAGAGAGCAGTTCCCATCAATCTATTCTCTCACATGAAAGAACTTCTCAGTTTCAGGGAGGTAATTCTAATCGAAACTTAGATTTCTTTCCCAAGATTGAATTTTCCCCCTTTGCTGGTAATAATCCTAGGAGTTGGATTCAAAAGTGTGCTAAATATTTCGAGCTTGGTATATTAGTTACATATCTGTTAATCCGGCCCTTACAAACCTAGGGAGTCTATGGGAAATTCTAGGTTCAAATTACCTCTGACTTCTGTATCTAAATATGGTGGACTGCTCCCTAAACATCAAGCCAGTACTATATCTAGCAAGAAGTCCAATATGACTGGGAGAAAAATCCTACAGCTTATAGATAATTGAGGAGAGGAGAAGAAAGAACCAATGCTTTCATTGTGATGGTCCATATTTTCGAGGACACAAATGTAAGGCTCAACTATACAGAGTCCATATAACTGCTGTGGAGGAGGAAGTTAGTGAAGGAGCCTATGTTGAAGAATCACCATCTTCTGAGGAAATATGGGAAGGAGTAGAAAATGAGGAATCACCAATACTTGAGAATTCACTAGTGATCTCTCTTAATGCCATATCTGGACACCATCAATTCCAAAATATGAATGTGACTGGAAAGGTTAAAAAAATGACATACATGTGCTGATTGACTCTGGGAGTACCCATAATTTTCTGGACACTAACACTGCTAAAAGGCTGGGATGTGGAATCATACAGTCCTACCCCTGGGAAGTCTCTGTAGCTAATGGGGAAAAATTGATGACTTCATAGGTTTGTAAGCAATTTAGATGGACCTTACACAACACTGAAATCACTGTTGACACAATGCATGTGCCCTTAGGTGGATGTGAGACAGTCTTGGGTGTTCAATGGCTAGTTTCTTTTGGTCCTATTAAGTGGGATTTGACAAATTGGTTATGGAGTTCCAGTATATGGGAAAAGATTGGTTTTGAGAGGAAGTAAAAGGGGAAGCATGCAATGGATCAAAGGAGAAACTCTATGCCAAGAAGTGCAAAAAGAAAAAGAAGAAGTATGAGGGGCAATTATATCTTATGCATGTGCAGTCAAACCAAGAACAATTCATGCAAGTTTAGATTGGAATACAACAATCAGAAGAATTTGTGCCTGAGGAATCTCTGTAGTGTTGACACAATTCCATGATGTTTTTGAGGAACCAAAACATTTACCTCCTCACAGAGAATGGGATCATCAAATCCACCTCCTATCTGGTACTACCCTTATCAATGTCAGGCCTTGTAGATACCTGGTGATACAGTAGAATGCCATTGAAGAAATAACAAGGGACATGTTGGATAATGGAATCATCAGGAATAGTCAAAGCCCTTATTCTTCACCAGTGGTAATGATAAAGAAGAAGGCTGGAAGTTGGAGGTTTTGTGTTGACTATAGAAAACTCAATAGCACACTATTAAAGATAAGTTTTCCATTCATGTGATAGATGAACTTCTGGACGAACATAAGGGATCTCAATTTTTTTTCTTCTAAAATTGATTTTTAGGTCAGATTATTGGCAGATTAGAATGAGGGAAGAAGACATAGAAAAAATAGCTTTTAGAACTCGTGAAGGGCAATATGAGTTCTTGGTCATGTCATTTTGCTTAACGAATGCTCCCACCACTTTTCAGAATCTTATGAATCAATCTTTAAGCCTCACCCCCGGAAGTTTATACTGGTTTTTTTAATGATATTTTGATATACAATCAAGATATTTAGTCACATGCACGACACTTGCAACAGGCTCTTAGCATTATAAGGAACAACACCTTATTTGCTAAAAATAAGTACGTGCTCCTTTGGGGTGCCTAACATTGAATATTTAGGGCATATTATTTCTAAGGAAGGGGTAACTACTGATCCTAAAAAAGATTCAAGCAATTCAAGTTTGGCCTAGTCCTAAAAATTTGAAAGCATTGAGAGGATTCCTAGGGCTAACGGGATATTAAAGAAAGTTCATCGAAAGATATGGTTTACTTTCCAAACCCCTAACTAACTTACTCAAAAAGAATGCTTTTTCTTGGGGAAAAGAGGGAGAGATGGCCTTTTCCCAACTGAAACAGGCTATGTGTCAAGCTGCAGTTTTGGCTCTACCAGATTTCAAAAAACCTTTCATTGTGGAAACGGATGCTTCTCACTTGGGCATTGGAGCAGTCTTATCTCAAAAAGGGCACCCTATTGCTTACTTGAGCAAGGCTTTATTTGAGAAAAGCAGGTCACTTTTTACTTATAAAAAAGAACTGTTAGCAGTAGTCCTGGCAGTGGAGAAACGGAGGTCTTACTTAGCTGGGAAGCATTTAATCACTAAGACTGACCACTTCAGTCTCAAATACCTCCTGGATAAAAAAACACTACCCTGTTTCAAAGTAGTAAATGCCTGCCTAAACTTTTAGGTATGGATTATGAGGTATGTAGTATGTTATAGAAAAGGGTAAGAAAACATTGCCGCAGATTCCCTTTCCAGAATTGATGAAGGGAACAATCATGAGTCTTATGGTGATAGACATTCAATCTGACTTATGGCAGAAGATTAAGGATAGCTGGGAAAATGATAATAGTCAACAACTTATTCAGTCATTGCAGGATGAATCCTTAACTCAATGTAAATTTTCTTGGCAAATTGAGAAATTGTTAAGAAAAGGAAGGTTGGTTGTGGGATAGACTGAAGAATTGAGGCAAAAAATTATCACACTTATGCATAGTTCACCCCTGGGAGGGCATGCTGGAACTCAGGCTACCTATAAAAGAGTCATTATTTTACTCGAAAAAATGAAGAAAGATATTAGAGTGGCTATCAAAGAAATGTGAAGTGTGCCAGAAGTTTAAACCTGTCCTCTGAGCTCCAGCAGGGTTGCTTCAACCTTTACCTATTCCGGATGCCATATGGGTCAACATCTCCATGGATTTTATAAAAGGGTTACGGGTTACCAAAATCCTTTGGTAAAGATACTATTCTGGTGGTGGTAGACAGATTGGGTTAGTATGCTCACTTTTTGACCTTCACATGTCTACTGCCTATCATTCTCAAACTGATGGACAGACTGAAGCAGTTAACAAATGCTTGGAAACCTATTTGAGATGTATGACTGGGGAAAGACCTATAGACTGGGCGACTTGAATACCTTTGGTTGAGGGTGGTATAATACTAATGACCATTCCTCAACCCAGAAGATTCCCTATGAAGTGGTTTATGGACAGTCTCCTACGCTCCATATACCTTATATTACGGGGGATTGTGTAGTTGAGGCAGTGGACAGGAGCTTAATGGAAAGAGAGGAATGCATTAATATGCTGAAATTCCATATTAAAAGGGCTCAAGACAGGATGAAGAACATGGCTGATAAACATAGAAGTGACAAAGAATTTTTGGTAGGGGATTGGGTGTATGTTAAGCTTCAACCCTACAAACAACAATCTGTGAGTTCTAGGACCAATATGAAGCTATCCCAACTAAGGTGGGAGCAGTGGCTTATAAATTACAGTAACCAGACCAAGCCAAAGTACATCCGGTATTTCACATCTCCCAACTAAAGAAACACCAGGGTCTCTACCTAACATGGATGACAATGGACAATTAAGGAGGGAACCTGTGGCTATTCTTGACAGAAAGATAGCTAAAAGAGGTAATGCGGCTGCAGTTTATTGGTTAATCCAATGGTCCAATGCTGAAAAAGAAGATGCCACTTGGGAGTTGCATGAAGAATTCATCAACAAAAATTCCAGAGTTTGTGGAGAAAACAAATGCAGCAACTTGAGGACAAGCTGGTTTGAGGGAGAGGCATTGTGATGGAGCTAGGTGATGAGCTGGACAAGTTAGCAGTTGATTGGACCTCTGAAGTGAGCTGGAAGCTGAGTAACTTCCAAAGACGGTTATTAGCTAATTGGACAGTTAGTTAGTTAGATCAGCTCATTTGTATATAGTTAGCCCATTTGATGTATGAACGTTTTAACCAAAGTATACTGAGCCTTCTTCTTCCCTAATATCTCTAAACTTTCTTGTTAGAATTCATTATCATTTGAATTCCTACTCTGTCTGGTTTTCTCGGTTAAACACCCTGGAACCATAACATCCTTATTAAAAATGTTATATGAAATTTATGAAAAAAAGAGAGTTTGTTTGACCAATAAATAGTAAAGAAGAAAACAAGTAGGAGACTAAGTGAGTAACATTTATTTTCTTCTTAGTTAACAATGCAATAAATTTACATATATGCAGGCAGTTGAAAGCTCTGCAAAACAATATTCTCATTCTCAAAACAATAGCACCCTGTCAGCTGCAGTGGTATGGAAACCCTCACACTAAATAATAAACTACATTATGTGATATACTGTTGGTATAACTGCAACAGGGGTAAGTTGAGGTGATAGTAACTATTTCCCAGTTTTCATTATGCAGAATTTTATTGATCTTGCGGGAAGCGAGCGTGCATCACAAACATTATCAGCTGGTACAAGACTAAAAGAAGGCTGCCATATTAACCGTAGTTTGCTAACACTTGGGACTGTAATTCGTAAACTGAGGTGAGGTTTATATATATATTTACAAGCCCCAATATGCTTTTTCATTCATCATCAGTATTAATGTATAGAGAATTCATCCACATATGTCACTCACCCTATAAGAGATGAGCTTACTACCCTTATTATTGTCTAGGTTTCAAGGTTAAGGGTTCTCACTTCAGCTCTTTTTGTATAAGTTTCATGGTTAAGGATCATACTTCAGCTCTTATGTGGTGTTTGCCTGTTTAAATTAAAACTTAAAAAAGGATCATACTTCAGCTCTTTTGTGGAGTTCACCTGTTTAAATTTAAATTTAAATTGGTATCAGAACCTGTTTGTTGTCAATACTATGCCGATCTCTAGTCAGACTGAGCTCAGGGCATATTCGCCACACTATCGGACTATCGGAGATAACTTTCTTATCTTGTTGTCTAGGTTTTATGGTTAAGGCTCATACTTCAGCTATTGTATGTTGTTTTGAGCCTGTGAATTGTCCATGATATGCTGATTTCTGGCCAGACACATCACCCACCATATAAGAGATGAACCCCTTAACTTTAATTGTTAGGTCTTAAGGCTAAGGCTAATACTTGGGCTCTTATATTTTGTTGAGTTTGTTTATATTTAGTTCATTAAAACTTAAAAGGTAAATTCTTATGATGTTCTAAGCAGCAAAGGAAGAAATGGCCACATCCCATACAGAGACTCTAAGCTAACCCGTATTCTACAAAACTCGCTAGGAGGAAACGCTAGAACTGCCATCATTTGTACAATGAGCCCCGCACATAGTCATGTTGAGCAGTCAAGAAACACTTTATTGTTTGCTACTTGTGCTAAACAAGTTGCAACCAAAGCAAAAGTCAACGTGGTGATGTCCGATAAAGCGTTAGTGAGGCAGTTGCAAAAAGAATTGGCAAGACTCGAAAATGAATTGAGGGCATTGAAATCACGTTCCACAGATGAAAATTCTGCTTTAGTACTTAAGGAGAAAGAAGGTGTCATTGAAAAGGTATACTTATTAACATCCAACTTTATCCATTATAGAAAATGAAATCAAGTATTTAACAGAAACTCATTGAGATTAAAACTTGATTGAGATTTCAGTGTCTCTATCTGGTTGTTCATTGGTCCAAGTCTCTAATCTGCTACTTTCCGTAGTCTCTGATGCAGCAATAATCCTTTTACTGAGATAAAGTAATATAAATAAGAAGTAACACCTAATTTCAATTATATATTTACTCCCTCCGTCTCATTTTCTTGTTCTATTTTCAATTTTGGTTTTTCCCAAAATGCTAATTTCATACCATATTTGGTGGCTCACAGCCATCCATACTGTTAGAAACTCCATACGAACCATACAATTTCACTTTTCCTTAACTTAATGAGACGAAAGGAATATGACACAATGTGGTTCTCAAATATATTTTGGACTCAATTTGGCCCTGAATTGTGCAATTTAATTTAGTCATCCAAGGTTGTCAAACTTCAGAGTTGACTCGTGAAATCATATGCGCTTACAATTTTATGTGTACATAACCAGTTAACTATTGCATAAGGTCAAATTTTGGTTGACTCTGGTAAAGTCAACTAGTCAAGCGGACTTGTATAAACTCATACAAACTCATGATTCCCATTTCGATCTCTATTTCCATTTCCTTATACGATCATAAAAATCTACTTGACAATCTCCTTGTCACCTAACATCAACGAGCAATGCTGGCTAGTTTTGATTTTTTTTTTGTTTCGCTATTCTGCAAACAAATATCTCCACGAAGTGTTGGAATCTCACGAGTGAGCCACATAAGACACCCATTTTCGACTTGCTACTCCGGCAAACTGAAAATTGTAGGTTATCGTGTTGATCATTTTCCTCAAACATAAATTTATGCTTACGTATGATTTTGGGTGGTTTTTTCCTGTCTAGTTGCAATGTAATAATAAATTGTGCTACTTTATTATACTCGTAGTATTTGTTTTTGCTATTTTATTTGTTAATGAGTTGAAAAATTGAATTAGCTGTTTAAAAAGTTTTAAGTTTCTTTGATATAGTTTACTTACATGTAACAATTTTATGAGTTTGCTAGACTAGTTACAAAGCCTTTATGAGTTTGTTTACCAACACCCTTGAGTTTGACAACTTGTCAACTTCCATAGTTTACTGTAACAGTAAAAAATAAGTTCATCTGTTGAGGTCCAAATTGGGGCCAAATTGCAAAATTGAGGACTAATGAAGCTTGAAATTGGGTCTTAATTCTGTGAATTGATGAAAACAACCTTCTTATTTAGAACCGTATAAGTATGAGAATCAAATTGTGTCCGGTTTGCATATATGAGAACCAAATTGAGTCTAAAAAAATGTCAAGGACCAAAGTAAGGATAGTATATAGTCCAGAAATTGGACATTCTAGTAGTTCCATAAACATACAGGATTATGAAGTTCAATTACCAGCTTGAAGGTGTTATAGTCAAGACTTATCACATCATTAAGTTCCGTATTCAACATTATACCACTCATTATACCCACCTTCTTCTATCCCCTCTGCCTCTATCTGCCTCATTAATGTCATGATATCATCTAGATGGATAAGGAAATGAGGGAGTTGATGATGCAACGGGACATAGCTCAATCTCGGATGCAGAGTTTGTTACATTCAAGATCATCATGGGTATGAACACAATATACATATACAAGTTGTTTTGTTTTGTTTTGTTTATTTATTTATTTATTTATTTATTTATTTATTTATTTATTTATTTATTTATTTATTAATTAATTTATTTATTTATTTATTTATTTATTTATTTATTTATTTATTTATTTATTTATTTATTTATTTATTTATTTATTTATTTATTTATTTATTTATTTATTTTTTTATTTATTTATTTATTTATTTATTTATTTATTTATTTATTTATTTATTTATTTATTTATTTATTTATTTATTTATTTATTTATTTATTTATTTATTTATTTATTTATTTATTTATTTATTTATTTATTTATTTATTTATTTATTTATTTAGTAATATGCATGGTGCCATGGTTTATAACATTTCCTTTCTTTTACAGACGGAGATGAGTTACCAATTAGAAAATGAATTTCAAACCCCTGAAGAATATACAGCATCTGAAGCATCAGATACTCCTTTCGTCCAGATGGAGGGGCCTTTTTCATCATCATCATCATCATCATCCAGATTTGAAGAACAACGAATTGTTGATGATAAGGCAGCCATTGAGGAGCCATTTCTCTCTGATGATACCTCCCCAAGGCTCTTCATCGACAAGTATTTCGGACCTGATCCATGCAAGAATTTGCAGATTCCTCCTACTAATCATGGATCTGTTCATAGTTTTGCTGATAGTTGCAAAGAAGTTCAATGTATAGAAATGGACATAGATTCAACTCATTCTGAAGGTGCCAAGGATGAAGAAGTTAACAATGGAAGTAAGGCATTCACTACAGAGTCCAAAAGTGGTGCCAATGATGATGATGACTTCTTGGATGTAATTGTTAAGGAACATAAGTTTAAGATATCAATGGGTGATGATGTCATAGCTTATGAAGATGTCGAAGCTATGCCTGAAAATCAATTTTGTGATGACCCCAACCGTGCGGTGCCTGAGGAGCAAGTCTTTGACAATGAGGTAAAAAAATGTTTCGGATAATGTGTTTACCTTGACTTTATTAGGTATTCGATGATTACCTTGGTAATACTTTGGACTATTTTGTCTTTGTTCTAACACTTTTTATGACATAAATAGGATAACATTCTGGGGACCAAACATCCCCTTAAGGCCATCTTAATTTCCCATAATCTTAATTCACGTTCAGGGTGATTGTAGTTTATGGTTTTGGGTTCAAGTGTTACTGACTTACTGTCTAATAAACCAAGCCAACTCATACTAATCATGTCGATTTTGAAAATGGCCAACCCAAACCCGCTTTTACAAGTTCCCAAAATCGGGTTTAGTTTTTAAAAAACTGAAAATAGATTACCACAACGAATGGGGTCTAAGGCTGTAATCTTAATTCCTTAACCTCCTAAACTTTTTGGTTCATGGAATGCGATATTATAAAATGTTACCAAAAGGTTATGTTATATACATTGCCTATGTAGTTCCCGAAGGATGATCTGAAGACTGAGGCATTGGCAGAAGTTGTAGGGAATTCTGAGTGGTCACAGGAATTCGAGAGGCAGAGAAGAGAAATCATTGAGCTTTGGGATGTTTGCCATATGCCATTGGTCCACAGAACATATTTTTTCCTTCTCTTTAAAGGAGATCCATCAGATGCCGTTTACATGGAGGTGGAGCTTAGACGGTTACAGTTTCTCAAGAATTCATGGTCTCAAGGAGAAAGAATAGTAAAAGATGGCCAAATAGTAACAGAGGCCGCAAGGTACTTTTTTTTGTTCATGTTTACCTTTCGGTCCTTTCCTTTTACTCGTATTATATATATATTTTTGTTTTTGTTTAATGAAGTATACAAATGCAATTTTCAATTAATTAAAATTTAAAACCAACAAATAATTGACAACAAGTCAAAAATAAATAATGTTCACAATAATTACTAATTCCAAAATGGGGACGTATTATCACATTATGGTTGTGAGATGTAGATAATAAATTGTAATTTAGCTATGGGGAAGAAATTGTTTGATATGAAAAGGGGTGAAATTTTGTTAAGGGAAACAAACATATGTATGTATACATATAAATTTTGGGCCCAATTTTTATAAATTTTATGGGGCCCTGAGTCAATGGCCTCACTGGCCTTAAGAAAGGCACAGCCCTGCCCATGGATATTCTTCTCTAATTGTCTAGGTCTAAGGTAATAACTTATACTCTAGCAAGCTCTTATATGTTGTTTGGTTTGTTGGGCTTATAAAATTCCAAAGGGTATCCAATTCTGTTAGTAGTTGTCTAGGTCTGTTAAAGTATCCCACATATCCCCATTACCCTATAAAATAGAGTAAAGGGTTAGTTTGGTCCTCGAAGTTGCACAAAAGGGGTCAAATAAGTCCTTATATAGGAAATTCTATCCGGCCGTCGCCATTTGGGGCGGTTCCCGGTGGAATTTTTTGATGAATTTTTTTTAGCATCTTATTCATTAAGTCTAGTTCACTCATATCAAATTTCAGATAAAAATTCAACCGGCAAGACATTCAAATGAATTCTTGAAGATAATTGTGCAGTTAAAAGCGCAGTTATCTTCAAGAATTCATTTGAATGCCTTCCCGATTGAATTTTTAGATGAAATTTGGTATGAATAAACTAGACTTAATGAATAAGATGCTCAAAACATTTTATCAAAAAATTCCATCGGGAACCGCCTCAAAAGGCACTTCCGGACAGAATCTTCTATATAAGGACTTATTTGACCCCTTTTATGCAACTTTGAGGACCAAACTGACCCTTTACTCGTATAAAATATGGATTTCTTAACCTTATTTTCTAAGTTTTTAACATTAAGTAATGAATAAAGCTCACAATCTAGCATGCTCTTTATGCTTGTGTATGAAAACATGTGCTGGGAATGGGAACAGCATAAAAGGCATGAAGAGGGAAAGGGAAATGCTGTGCAGGCAGATGCTTAAGGTATTGAGTGGAAGCGAGAGAAACAAGCTGTTTCAGAAATGGGGAGTCGGGCTTAATAGCAAGAAAAGAAGACTTCAGCTGTGCAATAAGCTGTGGAAAGACAGCAAAGACATGGATCATCTAAAGCAAAGTGCATCACTTGTTGCCAAATTAGTTGGGATCATAGGGCCAAACGAGGCATCCAAGGCTATGTTTGAACTGAACTTTTCACCCCAGCCTATCAACCACCTCAGATCCTTTAGCTGGGCTCCACGAATGGCTTTCATGATCTAAGCAAGCACACAAGGGGCACACTCACCCCCCTATTGGCCATAATTAATCTCCACCTTTTTTTATATTTAATCCATCTTTGATTCCCATTCTATATCGCATTCCCAAACAATGTAAAAAATCATTGTGTAATTAAGAAGTGCTACTTCAGATTCTTGTAAGGTCTTGGATCATTGGAGCTCTCTATGGTCAAATTTTTTATGTTAACTGCCAACTTTCTCATCATGTCTACAAAAGTAAAGAGAGTTCCAAAGAGAGCCATAGCCATGTCAAGAGGCTAATGAATAGTAGTCCTCCAATAGACATCTAATTGAATTAAAGCATAGGTGAGTGTTTAAGGTTGATTGAGACACCAATAATAAATGAATGAATGAATGAATGAATAACCAAACATTCCAGGCTTCCAGCCCAGCTGGTTGTGAGGTTATCATGCTTAGTGGGAGGTCTCGAGTTCGAAACCCGCTAGGTACATAGTGAGTTTCAGGCCTGATTACTCCAGACCCCCCAGCCCCCTCCCCAGACTCTCCCTGGAGTAAAAATAAAAAGAAAAAGAAAAAAAAAGAATGAATGAATAAAAAGGAAACTTCTTTTTATCAATATTCAAATTGACATAGCATTTGATCCAAATTTAAATGGGATGAAATTGTAGCCTCTTCATCTACGTTTAAATTTACATAGCAATTTTTAAACAATCAATTATGAGTCCAAAGTTGAAAAATATTGTCCATAGTGGCGTTTAATTGTTAAAAGTGTGGTGCACATAGTAATGATTTCAAAGAAGAAACAAATGAAAATAATAATGCCAACTAGTCATGGACCCGGGCCGGGCCGGTTCCGGTTCCGGGCCGGGCCCGGCCGGGCTTTTTTTTTGGGAAGGAAGGCCCGGGACCGGCCCGGGTAGCCACCGGGTCCGGGCCGGGCCGGGCCTCCGGTTCGGTTATAATTTTTTTTTTTTTTTTTTTGCTTTCCTAACCCCCCCACTCACCCCCACACCCCCCCCAAACCCCCAAACCCCTCCTAACCATCAAGCCCAACTTGGCTAACCCCAAAAAAAGAAAAAAAAAATTAAAAAAAAATTAATTCGGCCCGGGCCCGGGCCCGACCCGGCCGGGCCGGTTCGCCAAATTCAAGGCCCGAGCCCGGACCCGGCCACCCCACCGGGCCTAGGCCCGACCCGGACCCGGACCCGAGAACCGGGCCGGTTCCGGGCTCGCACAGTGGCGGGCCGGGCCGGTCCCGGGCCGGGCGGCCCGAACCGGGTCCATGCCTAATGCCAACTACTGTTAGTCTGCTCAAATAATCCTTGCTACTGATTATATTATTATAAATAATACATTTCAAAGAAACAATTATTGAAAGTTTTGACATGTGTCATGTCGTAAGCAACTCCTTTATTAGACTTGTAGTATTCTAGATTCTCTTTCTAATTTAAAAATATGTTCTAAAATTTAGAAGTAATTAAAAGCTCCCTAAAATCTAGAATACTCATTCGTAGATTATTAATCCAACAGGGCTTTCGTAGATTAGAACTCCTAGATTATAATTTGAATTTGAGTTGCTAAATATTAGAACTAAGTTGGAATTCCTTAAGTCTCACATGTGGCGGAGTAAGCTACTCCTGCCCACGTTTCATTTTTAAAATTGAATAAATCAAAATTGCATAGATGCCCTCTAATCAAAGTTAAGCCTTCCGCAGCTCGTTCGATGTTTTGCAAAGGGCAACTCACAAGTGATCCTTCTCAGCTCTCCACTTTCCCCTCTCCAAAGTCATACTCTCATCCAACCCAAGAAGACGTATATCAGTTTTGATTCCTCTAATCCAAGTTTGTTTGGGTCTTCCCCTCCCTCTCCTCTCCGTCTCTTCTCCCCACCCCTCAAGTCGTCTAACAGGTGCATCACTCGGTCTTCTACGCACATGCCCAAACCACCTCAAACGAGACTCCTACATCTTATCTTCTATAGGTGCTCCTCGCACCTTTTGTCCGATTATCTTATTCCTTAAGTGGTATTTTCTGGTACGTCCACACATCCAACGCAACATATGCATCTCTGCCACACTCATATTTGCAAAGCATTACAAATTGTAAGTTTATATTCTGAAGTCACTATATTTGCTTATTTAATGTGTCATGGTCTTCTGTAGGTTAAGAACTAAGCTATTTCAGCTAGGCGGTTAGTTAACTTACTTAGGACATTTTTACTTCATGAATTATTAAATGGTGCTTATTAAGACTCGCGTTAATAAGGGGCGCATAAAACAAACACTGTTGTAAGCACATGTTTACTTCAAAGGATTTAAAATGTCCAAAATAACCCTATACATACATAAACACACAAACATTCATGAACACAAGTATATAATATAATATGTGGGGTCACCTCATACATGTACCCATACCCCTAACCCTACCCCACCCTCCCGTACCCCCACCCCTCCTACACCCTACCCCCAACTCCACACCCTTGACCCCTACCCCTACCCTTACCACGACCTTACCCTATACCCATCCTACTCCTCTGCAACCCTCATACTCATCCCCATACCCCTAACATGCATGTACCCTACTCGTAGGGGTGGGATCAAGGTAAGGGCATGTGGTATAGGGTAAAGGGGTAGGATCAGGGTAGTAAGGGTAGGGGTGGGGGTAGGGTAAGGGGTATGGTCGGGGATATGGTGGTAAGGCCTTGGGGGTAGTGTGATACCCCGAAAAATTAAAATAAAATAAATAATTTTATTAGTCAGATAAAAGGTTACGAAAGTGACATTCTTAATAATTAAGTGAACAGATAAAAGTTTTACTGATTAAACAAAAATGAAGTTTTGTAACAGGTGGGAATTATACACACCAAATATGATATAAATAATAATAACCAATTTCGATGTATGGATTAAATTTATAAATACCTACTCCGTATAAGATATGCACACACTACACAATTGTGACTTTTAGGGACCAAGTAACAAAATAATCATTTTGCGGAATATCTTATAATACTAGCTAGAATGATTAAGTCAGGGTTGACTATTCTCTAAAGAACAAACCCATATGCAAACTTGACATGGCCACAGGCCACATGCATGAAGTTGGCCGAACAATAATAAGGAGTAATAATAATACTCGTAACATGTATATATGCAATGATCATAATAATAGACCTCCAATAATATACATAATGACAATACATCCAAGGATGACATACATCATACATGGGTACCATAGCTCCCTGCTAGACTAACGACCGGCATGCCACATGCGTACGTAGGAGCCGCAGATAAGATAAACCAAAGAAACAATCTTCAGCAACCTACCAGCTAGAGTTTCGTATAGGGATTATAAATACACAATCTGCCTAATGAACATCTCCACGACTCAAGCAACGCCTATAAATACAGAACCTTCATACTAAACATCTCCACACTCATGTATGAGCTATACACTCATATATACGTATATATAATCTACTTGCGTTGCGGCAAAACCAGAGCTAAAAAAAACCATCTTAAACCTTCGGTGAGTGTGAGAGCAAGAGAACGAGATTGACGGGAGAAGAAACGGTCGTCGGAAGAGGGAGAAATCGCTCGCCGGAGTGGCCGCCGGGCTGGTTTCACGGTTTGAAGAGTAGCTACTAGCTGTTGCCGCCAGACCACCGCCGTGCTACCAGGCTGACCTAGGACGTCCTCTGCCGCCACCGTTCCAATTATTCCGTCATCAATAAGGTAAGCCGACTACCTCTTGTGTTTTTCCGGTGATTGTGCGAAGAAGACAATGCATCAGTTATTTTATGTAGAGAGTAGTACGTACGTACCGAGTTCATGCGAACAGACTGGCTGGGTGTTTAGTTCAAATTTTATAAAGCAACTGGGCTGAATGCTTAATAACAAAATTAAATATTAAGTTATAGGTATTAAGAACCGAGTCAATTTCTATAAATCTGGACCAAGTAGCAACAATCTTATAAACAACTGGACGGTGATTCATTGGGTGAACTGAACTGGAATAGTACAAATGGCCAGGCCATATACTTCCTCCGTTCTTTTTTAGTTGCAACGGTCAACATTTCACACTTGCCAACGCACGTCTTTGACCGTAATTATATCTTAATCTCTATTAGTAAAAAAAGTATTTAAAAATTAGATTTTGAAAATTTGTAATGATCAGATGAATTGAACAATATTTTTTTTAAAAAAAATAATTTTCATAAAATAATAATATAAAATGTAATCAAAGTAGAATATGTGAATAGTGTAAAATTCAATATGTTGCGATTAAAAAGAGACGGAGGATAGTAAGTTGCTAATGGTTAGGACCGATTACTTTTAAGTACCGAACTCATAATAATAATGGTATTGTAATTTAACAACCAGAGTAGTAATAATATAAGAAATGATAAATCACCTGCAAATAAAGTCGGGAATGAAAACGTGCAAGTATGATGAAAAACTGTTTAGGGAGTGTTTGCAACTGCTTCTGCTTAAAAAAAGCACTTTTGGAGATGTAATGAAAAAGTGATTAGTAGTAAAAGTTGATAGTGTTTGAGAAAAAAGTGATTTTGAAAAGTAAAAGTTGATAGTGTTTGGTAAAATAAGTGCTTTTTGTGTAATAGAAAAGGGAAAAGCACTTTTCACACGCAAGCCGAGAAAAAGTAAAAATTGGAAGTGTTTGGTAAATAAGTTATTTTTTAAGCCAAAAGCTGAGAAATGTAATAGGCTAATATAATTAGGAATCTACCTAATAGATATTTAGGAATCTGCCTAATATCTGTTTAGGAATACTTTGTATTTTGGCAACTCTTCTATTATAAATATATCTGTCAGGACTCCTATTGGAGTACCTCTTTCCCATTATTTCACATGGTATCAAGAGCTTAGGTTTTTAGACACATTTTTTTCTCTCTCTTTTTTTTCGGTTCCCATGAACCTTATTATAGCCGCCGCCGCCTCGGGGTCGAGTGCCGCCACATTTACGGTAGTCTTCGATCCTTTGAAGATGAGCGCGGCTAATATGGCGCAGATCACCTCCTTCGCGTCGCTGAACACGGTGCTTGCTTCCAGCATGCCGTTGAGTTCGCCGCCTGCTGCTGCCTATGTCCGCGCAACCCACCTTCTCTGCGTCGCTGACCACGGTGCTTGCTTCAAGCGCGCTGTTGAGTTCGCCGCTGGCTGCTGCAGACATATATTCTCATGGAGATCTTATTGTCAAAGATGTGCC